TGTACTTGCCGCTTTCCCAAGAAACCAAAAGCATAATTATTCTTGTTACACATGACTGTGTCATAGCGACTTGATAATCACATGGGAGCGTAAGGGGGTAGGAACACTGTACAGAAATTTGTGTAAACACCGAACAGAAAAACATAAGAAAAATGCAAATTGCATTGAAATTACCTGAATATTCCTAAATACCACAAACTGCTTGGTTTTGTAAAACTGTAATATAACAACGTAAATTAAAAATTTTTGCAAAACCACATTCAATGTAAACCCTAATGCCATTGTTCTTTATTTTCTATATCAATCTTTGGTTGTAACCGTTACTTTTGGCAGCATGAAACTCTGAGTAGCAAAACAAATGTCTTGCATCAAATCATCCAGCGTTTTATTTTACTTAATTATGCATGTGTTTTATTTATAGACATATAAATGTGTAAAATAATTTATAAAAGCACACATATGGTTCATTCCTTCATTATTCACAGGTTTTTTCAGTGCATCTTTGCAAATTGCTGTTATCGATTTCAACCATTTTTTGTTCACAGGTATTTTCATATGGTTTTTCAGAGGTGTTTCTTAGGCAATTTTCTCAAACTTTTTTCATAGGTTTTTTCACAGGATTTTTCAGAGGTGTTTTGTAGGCAATTTTCTTAAACTTTGATCACAGGTTTATTCACAGGGTTTTTCACAGGCTTATTTTAGTCACAGGTTTTTTCACAGGATCCTAAATTTTGAAATTTTCTCAAAATTTAGGCTGTGCAAAATTCACAGGGTTTTTCACAGGGTGTTTTCTTGTCACAGGGTATTTCACATATTTTTCACAGCATTTTCACAGGTTTTCATCCAATAGTGCAGATTGAAGAATTTTTGAAAAAGTGCTTCCAGGCTCTCCTCTTTTCTTTTCTTGCCATTTTTCGCTCATTTGCTACATTTATTTCACTGCTTGCTTGCTTTTTTCACTCATCCGCGCTGACTGAGAGCCCAGTGCAAGCTATATTATCGCTTAAGAGGAAACAAGATTGAAACTCCATATTAAACTTGTTTTTTGTGAAGAACTTGATCAGCCGTAGGGCTGTGGAGGTTGGTGCTCAATCATAAATCTTGTGATTAGCATTTTAATCTTTTAATACACTAATATTACCTTATTTATATCTTTGCAGTTTTTTGAAGGGAAGGAGCTGCAACTGAAGCAGCATTACTTCATGGTCTGCTCTGCCACTCTGTCAGACATTGTATTGTTAGAAGGTACAAAGCTCCTAAATTTGGCTCCAAAGAAGCTGTGAGGACCACCTTTGAGGACTTTCCTGACAGAGTAAGGGTAGGAAAAATTATTTAAGAAATATACATACTGTTCTGGGCATGTTTTGGTTCCAGGCTTGATCATATCAGGGCAGCCTGTCACTAAGATTTCAAGTTGCCAGAGGTCAGTTTCTCAAAAGTTCCAGTGACTTTTTGAGCCCAAAATTAAATAATATTCAAATCAAAAATAATATTAAGAATGATAGTGCTAGATCTAGCTAACAGACCATACCATGATTGTTTTGTTAACTGTTATGATAGTTTTGTCATGTTATCTGCAAAATTGAAACCTCCATCTTGCATTTACAGTGTTACAAGCAAGTTCAACTTTTAGGGCCCACTGATTATCACTCAAGACACAGGGCCCTCGTGGCTTGAAAAAAGTCCCATCTAGTCATTCTAGCCCAGGAAATGGCCCAAACAAAATGCACATTGTCAAACAAAGACAATTGTGTGTTGGTCTTGGGCAAGCAGAATTCAAGACCTGCTTGTTCTAAGGGCAAGCTAGAAATCAAGTTTTCCTCTTGAAAGCCCTGTGAAATTTAAAATTCTTTTTACTAGATTACTCCGTTTGCCTGGGTGTTAGTCAGAGAGACACCTGTGGATTACCCTGTTATTGAATGCACATACTGCATTGATTTTTGTGGAAATACATGTATGATTAGATGACGGTTACCTAAATAATTGTCTACAATTATAATTTTATTCAATCTTCTTCCTCTCATGTGCGACTCTTACTTGGAGTGCCCTGTTGATTAAATACAGTAAAAAATTGTATTTTTCGAAAGAAAGCTGCGGCACCTTTTGCTTTTTGATGCCAAGGCTATTCATGGTGGCGCTCTTTCAATTAAATGCAATAGGATATTCTGTTTTTCGAAAGAGTGCCAAGGCGCTTATTTTTGTCTGACTGTCGAGGATATACAGTTTGGATAGCATTTGCCGGTTTTATTACATTTGAGTGCATTATTAATTTTGTGGTCAATTATTACATTTGTGGCTTCAACATCCACCCCCCCGCTCCCCAGATAAAAGCCCCCTTCAAATGTATTTAAATGAATTTGATTTATTATTATCCCAGTGATGAGCCCCCTTGGATTCAAGCCTCTTCATATGTAAGTCCTGATCCCAAAACCCCTTAACAAAGATGTATATGCCCAGGACTTATAAGTGGTAGTTTACGGTATCCCATTAAATTGAGTTCTGTAGAGTGTTGTACAGAATTTTTTTATTGTGGGAATAAAAAAAATTTCTCTTTTTGCAGTGTATCTTACCACTCAAGGTGCAAACCCGCGTGAGCATCCTGTGAAATCTGAACTGGTAAAGTCATTTGCCTGGAATACATTGAGCTGCATGTAGTACCATTATATCATATTTATCATAACAAACAAAGAAGCCTCGACTGTGCTCCATTCTGTTCTAAAGCAGGCAGGAAGAAAGAAGTGTATCACATTCCTTTTTAGACTGGGCCAAATGATATGATTGTTTTTTAATGGTTAAAAAAGATGATTATGAGTTCAGACCATACAATATAGGTGTGGGTCAGCAAAGTTTTAGTTTTAAAAAATTTTATGGCATTTAATTTAAATAATGGAGAATATTGGCACAATATCACTGGAAAAAGGTGCTGGAGCACACAACTCATGATTCCTTATAGTCTGGGAGCAAATGTCATAAAATAAGGTCCCGTGTGAAGTTCGTGCTGAAAGCAAGCACCTAGTGTAAAAGTGTTCATTAGGTCCTACTAAACATGAAAAGTTTTGGTGCCAGCTTTGCTACTTGCTCAGACGGCTTTTAAGGGGGGTTAAATTCTGACCCATGAAATCCATCGTGAAAACGAGGCTAAAACACATAATTCCTCATAACTTTGTTAATAACAGACGAAAATACACCAAACTTGCTCACATGATTGGGCATGATCCTCCCTGTTGATTTATGCTAATTTACATAGGTCACGTGACCTTACACATGAAAGCGAGGCTGAAACACATAATTTACTATAAATTTGTCAAAAAAAATCCTTATCATGCCAAACTTGCTCACCTTAGTCAGTTAGACATCTTGCATCGATTGGTGCCACTTTGTAGTGTCACGTGACCCCATACATGGAAATGAGGCGGGATTGCAAAACAAGCCAAAGGTGAACACATCATCCAGGACAATAACGTTGACTCATTGTAATGCATATTAATGCTGTATGTATAGCATTTGAATGAAAAAAATAAACGCTAAAAAGGTGTAATGATAATGTATTTCGTGTGGCTTATATAACTTTATTATAAGCGATTTCTACAATCCTATTTCGCACAAATTCCCGTGAATTCTTAACCTAGGGGGCCTGGGTGATTGTGAGCCTGAACTATTGGTCAGCGGTAATTATTTGAGTGTCCGCCATGTTGTACTTACAGTCATCACAGTGCTTGTAGTATGACGGATTTTGGCCTGTCTAATGCCCCTTTAGATTTTAAGCTATGTGTAATCTGCCAAGAAAAAAGTACAGCCAATCTTGTTGAAAATCCAACTTCCCATCAAAAGCTTTTAGAAGCCATCGAAGAACGTTCAAAGTACGAGGACATCAACTCGAAAACATTGTGGCAGTGGCACCTCCACTGTTAAACAGATAATCGATGGCAAGCATGTTAAGCGCGGTAAAAGAGCACACATGATCACCTTACAGGCTTTATTTTCCTTATACCTGAAAGCATTTCTAGAAGGCTCTCCTGATGTACGTCGTACCCTCGAGGAACTCTCTACGAAAGTTGGAGATGCGTGCAAAGAAGGCACTAAGGAGAACATCCAGACGGCGCACCATAGCTCTACCAACGCGATCCAGTCTTCTGAAGTAGTCAAGAAGATGTCTGATTTTGACGCTGCGAATGCCACAAATCCTCTCTTTACTGTATTTCGCCAATACATGCGCATGGTAATGGAGATGTTCGCATTCATCCAGCCAGTCCGCAGTGGGGAGAGTGAAACTCCATCTAATTGCACTGGAGTTGTTCACAAAGTACTTCTTTGTGCACGACAAGATCTGTTATCTAAGGATGATCCCCCTGTACCTAGCTGAAATGGCATCCCTCGAATCATCAGACCCCGAGATCTATGGAGAGTTCATCATAGGAAACTGGGTAGTGAACAAGAACAAGGAGGTTCCCTTCTGTGCTGTTGGTGGTGATACTGCGTTAGAACACCTCAATCGATCTATGAAAGTTTCTGGTGGGCTTGTAGGGATCACTTTGAATGAGAGCGCACGAGCCACGTTTTTCCTCATTGCCCCAGAACTAGCCCGACTCACAGCAGAAGCCAAGGCAATGGCGGGTCTCGTTCCGGAACGTGCACACCATCAAGAACTAAACTCAGCTGTTTTGACGCACGAAGATAAATAAGTTGACCGAGACAATCAAGACCTTCACCAATCCCTTTTCATCAGACCAGAACACCAACACCGATCTGTACAACTTGGTCACAAAAGTTGTGATGAATGAGAAAACGAAGAAAGATCTTGTTAATCAGAGTGAAGAAGGGAGAAGCTATTCAGTGCTTTTGTACAAGATAGGATCAAGACAGGAAAGATCAACCTCTGGGCTCCTGTAAAGAAGCGCAATCTTCTTACCTGGAAAACGAGTGCTAAGGTCATCAAAGTCAAAGCTAAAGACACGATCATCGAGTTAAAGGAGGACAGAAATCTGTTTGCTCGTTTGGCGATGGTGTGCAAGAGCCGCCCAGAAATTGACATCCAAGAGGCTGTTGGCTTATATGAGTTCACTGTTGTCCCAAGATCTTTGTTTGCACGAGATGGTACCATGTTGCATTGTTCTTGCAAGAGTGCCCTTATGCATATCCTAGAGAAGGCAGGTGGCCCTAGTTCTAATACACAAGAAATTACCGCAGGATTCAAAGTCGCGATTGTTGATGGAATGGCCGAAGTCCAATCACTTGACAAGCCAGAGTGGATCAAGAACTGTAGAGACTTGGCTGAACATTTCACGAATCGCTTGCTTGTAAAGTATAATGATTTACAAGAGCTCCACATAATCTTCGACAGATATGATGTATCATCCTCACTGAAATCAGCAACACGAGTCAAACAACAAGGTGCCATGTTCCCATTTATTATCGCATCACTGATTCTACCCACATCGCCAAGGTGCCGATGAAGAAGCTTCTTGCTCATTCAAAGACCAAGGGCGAACTTACTACGTGTCTCGCAAAGAATGTGAAGGATAATGCTAATGGGAGACAAGTGGTTGTGGCATAGGGAACGGAATGTGAGGCAACGCAGAGAGACGTCAGGCATTTACGAAGTACACAAGAAGAAGCCGACACGCAGATTATTTTACATGCTCTGGATGCCTCTGCTCAAGGTGCTACCAAACTCTCTATATATTCTCCTGACACTGATGTTCTTGTTTTGGCTCTCCGACGGTATCCAGATTTGTACTCGAACTCTTGCTTTGTTACTGGGACCGGCAGTAGTCGTAGAGTTATCAACTTGAAGTCAATCGCAGACGCCCTTGGGCCCACTAAGACGGCTGCGCTGCCAGCATTTCATGCGTTGACAGGAGCAGATGTTACTGGGAGTTTCTCTGGAAGGGAAAAGCCACTTGTTGGGATGAGTTTGATAACGCCAGCACTCCTATCTTGCAAGCTCTTGCTAACCTCGGTTGTGGGGAACAGTCAGATGACGGCACAAGAAGTGGAGTGGAAGAGCTGGTTTGTCGGATGTACAAACCAAAGACAGACATCAAAACTGTTAAAGCCCTCAGATGGTCCCTCTTTAAGAAAAATCAAGCTGAGTCTGAGAGGTTGCCGCCCACACAAGCTGCTCTCCATCAAGCCATACTGAGAGCGCACTACCAGCTTCTTGTTTGGAACAACGATCATGTAGCATGTTGCCCTCACCAGAAGGCTATGGATGGCAAGATGAAGATGGAAAGTGGGTACCAGTCATGACAAATCTTCCACCAGCTCCAGAGGCAATTATACAGCTTGTCCGATGCAAGTGCGCCAAGTCCCGTTGCTCTAACAACCGTTGTCAGTGTCAAAAAGCCGGACTTGTCTGTACTGATCTCTGTCTGTGCTCTGAAGATTGCCAGAACGAGTATGCTGAGAGTGATGATGAGTATGATGAAGATGAAGTCGAACAGCAAATTCCATAGGAATGGACAACAGAACATTGCATATAGATATTCAGTAAGACTTTCGTGACTGTATATATAAAATAGCAGTAGTCGCTATTTTCATTTTCTGCCCTTGTTCCAATATACGTGCGAAAATGAATACATGGAACCATTATCATAAGTTGGCAAAATTATTGATTATGTGTGCAAGATAGATTCTCAAATGGAGCCTCCGCAGTATTTGCTTTATCCGTCTCGTCCCTGTGCTATGGGCCATAGGACAATGATTAGTTGAAGTTTTTATATCTGAACTCGGATAACCAGATATGTATCTGCCTAGTAGTTGTTAATACATTTGGCAAGACAAATGCCATCCTACACGATGCTACCAGATATATCCAGCCTCGTTTCCATGTATGGGGTCACGTGACACTACAAAGTGGCACCAATCGATGCAAGATGTCTAACTGACTAAGGTGAGCAAGTTTGGCATGATAAGGATCTTTTTTGACAAATTTATAGAAAATTATGTGTTTCAGCCTCGCTTTCATGCGTAAGGTCACGTGACCTATGTAAATTAGCATAAATCAACGGGGAGGATCATGTACAATCATGTGAGCAAGTTTGGTGTATTTTCGTCTATTATTAACAAAGTTATGACCAATTATGTGTTTTAGCCTCGTTTCCATGTTGGATTTCATGGGTCAGAATTTACCCCCCCCCCCCCAAAAGCCGTCTGAGCAAGTTGCAAAGCTGGCACCAAAACGTTTCATGTTTAGTAGGTCCTAATTAACACTTTTACACTAGGTGCTTGCTTTCAGCACGAACTTCACACGGGACCACATTTGCTCCCAGACTATTACTAATCCTCACAACAAGACTAGATTTTTTACACATTTTTTTCTCATGCTCTTTTCATCCCTTTGCATTGTAGTATTGTTTAACAGTATCCCATAAGTTTTGCACATAGGTAGGTTTTGAAGGTCATAAAAGTTCTTTAACTTGTTTGCTGCCTTTTGTTGTCATTGTAGGACAGGATAAAGAAGTACATGGGAAAAGTAAAAGAAACAACAGAAAAGAAAGAAGGTCAGTATCTCCTCTGATCCCTTAGCCTGCATGGCTTACAACCAGAACAGAGCTATAGCAGTGCTGGTACAACCAGAACAGAGCTATAGCAGTGCCGATACAACCAGAACAGAGCTATAGCAGTGCCAGCACAACCAGAACAGAGCTATAGCGCTAGCAGTGTTGGTAAAACCAGAACAGAGTTATAGCAGTGCCGGTACAACCAGAACAGAGCTATAGCAGTGCCGGTACAACCAGAACAGAACTATAGCAGTGCTGGTACAACCAGAACAGAGCTATAGCATTGCCAGTACAACCAGAACAGAGCTATAGCAGTACTGGTACAACCAGAACAGAGCTATAGCAGTGCCAGCACAACCAGAACAGAGCTATAGCAGTGCTAGTACAACCAGAACAGAACTATAGCAGTGCTGGTACAACCAGAACAGAGCTATAGCAGTGCCGGTACAACCGGAACTGAGCTATAGCAGTGCTGGTACAACCAGAACAGAGCTATACCAGTGCTGGTACAACCAGAACAGAGCTATAGCAGTGCTGGTCAACGTAAGCGTACAACGAGACCTTCCTGCTTTACAAGGACGACACTGTGTAATTAAAACCCACCTAACTCTGGGGATTGTGGCAACCAATATTTGATTCGAAATTTGTCAGTGACGATGCCTGCCTTAAATGATCCGGTAAACTATTCAACAACACCGCTCCACTATAACCGAAACTCTTTTTGAAGGTTTCATGCGGGAAAGTGGTACTGCTAGTTTGTTTACCATATTTCTTATGTTATTTAGGCGTAAGTCCATACGATTAATAAATTTTGATCTCAAATTCTCAAAAGTCTTAGAAATAAGAATAGATAAATCGAACTTACGTAGCAGCTCAAGTTTAGTGACTGAAAGAGCTCATCCAACCTAGCAAGGTAATTTGATGTTGTTATTATACAAGCAGCGCGGTTCTTTACTTTCTGCAGCTTCTGGGAGAGGCCCTTATTACAATTTCCCCAAACTGCACTAGCACAGTAATTCAAGTGAGGCTGTACATGTACAAGAGCACAATAAAATAGTCACAAGGGACAAAGTTTCTGACGTGCGTAATTGCAATGATGCCTGAAGCAACCTTTTTAGAAATCATCATCCTAATTCAGGTTCTGGTCAATTTTTTCCCAGCCACTGGGATGATTGATATCAGGCTATAATTGGTCATATCTGAACGTTTTCCTTCATTCTTGTAGAGTGGAGTAACTTTTGGGCTTTTCCACTCATTGGCAAATATTTTGTTTTTAATTGACAAATTAAATAGACACGACAATGATTCAGAAATCAAATCAGGACACTCTCAGAAGCTTGCCAGAAATATTGTCAAGACCTGTTGCTTTCGTTTTACAAAGTGTAGATTCATTGTAGTTTTGTTCACAGGTAGGGGGAGCTTATAAGGGGCAGTTTGAGGGTTGATTAAAGAGAGGGAAGAATTATTATTATTATTTTTTCAATCTGTTTTGTCGTAGCATCTCTAAGGATTGATAAGGGTGCTGCTAAGAGATTTGTGAAGAGTGCATTGTGGACTCCATCAGGTAACTTAAAAAGTTCACTGTTATAGTGACACACGTTTTGTGAATGTGTTGTGCTTAAAGTAGAATAATGTCTACAGCGACAGATACAGTGTAGCTCTAGTTCCTGCACGGAAATCATATCAGATAGGGCTTTTGTGCACAGTGGTTTCTGTACTGAAGCAGAATTCGCGGCTCCTATCTTGAAAGTGGATCATCACTATCTGCTACCCTTCGCGGCAGTGTGAACAGGTGTTCATGTACCAGGCTGGAGTAATAATTTTTTCATGTAGACAAAGTAAACTATCCATTATAGCGTAGAGTATTGCAGTTTGTGATGATAAAAGAAACTGAAACCAGATGTCATATGTCTGCCGTTCGACTTTACAAACAGTTTTTACTTAGCTGCTGCAGCAGTTTAGAAATACGTGTGGAGAGGGCCAAGTTTGACTTTTTATTCGAAGTCTACTTGCTTAAGTTTGACCAAGCCAGGTTCCTAAAAAATATGCAAATTAACAACTGAATGCCACAAGATCGTCGCAGTTGTAGACGCAACTGTTGCGTCCACAACTGAGGTGATCTTCTTTCATTTAATTGCATTTGATTAGCTTATACACTTACCTTGTTGTGTTTTATTGCGGGCGACAAGAGGAGCCCTCAATCCTAATCTCCAGGTTGTTGTAACGCATGCGTCGCAGGTATGTAGCCAGCATTCGTCTAGATTTCCACTAAGTATGAATGGAATGCACAAAACGCAATTTGATCACGCGCGTTTCGACTTCCTACCCCTCATCATCTGATCACGTGCGTTTTGATCAACTGTCACGTGAAACTAGCGCAAAGCACAGCCTTGGAGCAAAAGCGTTTGGGCATCTGATCGTTGTCGCCTGCACTCCCTAACCTTTGGTTATTACCTAGTTTAGAAATTATTTTGTTTGGCTTACAGATAAAAAGGATTCTTCACAAAATGGAGGAGAAACTTCAAGCAAAGAAGGTGAATCAAACATTTGTCAGTATCATTTAAATCAATGAGGGTACAAAATGTATCCCGATCGCTTGGATGCTCATCTTGTGTTGGGTGTGTGCCAAGTGTGTGTTTTTATGGACTAAGAAGAATTGATAATGGTGTTATATTTGGCCTTATAGTTTCATACCAATTTACTCTTCTTAGCCATGATGCACTCCACCAGAGTGTAAAGTAGCCTGTCTGTTGCCTTCTCTCCGTTCATTTGTGTCCAGTCATCAGAAAGGTCCAGGTTTCGAATTTCCGCCAAGCCTAAATTTGTTCAGGTTTTTTTTTTAACTATACTCAAGTTGAAAACATCAACTGTAGTTACCACTAGTCGTGATTGCTGTGAGCTGGAGCAAAGTAAAATCTTTTTCATCGGGAGCTTGTACTCATGACCATCCACACGCCAGTTAAATACTCTCGTTAGTTCATTCTCATGATCGTCATCATCATCGTCATCACCATTATTATCATCATCATCCTTATCATTGTCGTCTTCTCTT